CACACACACACACACACACACACACACACACACACACACACACACACACACACAAACACACGTACTGCACCGTGTGGCCACACAGGTGCCACAGAACACATTTCCGGGTGCCTGCGCTGTGCTTTTACTTGGGTGCCCGCACGGTACGGCAGACAATTGTTCCGAGCTGCACAGCCCAAAAACGTTTTGGGCCACGTTCCCAGCCGTGGTCCGCTGATGGTTGGGCGAATCAGTGTCACTGGGCCGAGTGGACACAATCTTCCAGGGACTGCTGTTTGCATGGCCCTGTGCAAGGATGGCACGTAAATCGGGAAATGGTCCACAAACACACACACAAACACGCACAAGGTGTGTGGGCACTCGCCCATCAACCACACAAACGTGGGCAACCCTTGCATCTTCTCATGTATGGCCTATCTGTACCTTTTTTGTTTGATGGATGATGACATGCGTTCCTCATTTGTTTAATGGATGGTTTGTGATAATTTGTGGTTGGAATGAGGAGAGAATTTGGGGATCCTTAAAACACACACACACACACATACAAAATTTGAAAACCACACATATGAAGAGAAACTTTGGATGGACTCGTGGTTTAGTATTACCACTCCGGTGCTTCGCAGCTTTACTCCCAACCGAGAGGGCTACAACCATTCATGGTAGGAACTCAACCACAGATGGAGGAAAGAAGAGAAGGACATAAAAAAGAGTGCACAGTCATGTGTTTCAAGTCTCCACAGAAGCCCAGATGAACCAGACGTGAGAGTCAGGAACCCAGCTGGACCCGCTTTCCAGCAGGTGATGCTCCCCACCAGTAGATGAAGCCTTCAAAAGCGGGCCCACTTAAGGAGGATGCTCTTATCACCTCCTTCAGTGGGAGACTGCCCGTAAGTTCGAAAAAAAAAAAGAAAAAAAAAAGGAACCCACATGCGCAGGAACCCGCGATAAAAAATGATATTACTCCGATGAAGAAGATCACATGAGTTTTAGTATCATGGATCGACTTCCTCACTATGGATGGTCGAGTGGTTGAAGGTATCAGTCTTTAGGCAACAATCGCACCTGTGTGTGATATGCCAGACTGGGGAGATCGACAGAACAACCGCGAGCAACAGCGACAAGACCCGACATACAACACCATGGACAACCCTTGGGTGGTGCGCAGGCACTGTCTGTAATAGCTTACCATGTGTCATCCCAAGGGGGGGTGTGTCCAGCTGTGTGTCATTCTAACGCCCTGGCGGTGTCCATGTGCGAGGCTGCAATTGAGTTTTGAACCCGCAACCTCATACCACAATGTGCATTTCCAACCGGTGCTTTAACACTGATGTATGATATCCTTCGTAGGTGGATTCACGTATTACATCACGCCACCATACAAACATGGTATACAAAATCATTCCTAAACCTAAACTAAGGCACAGCGTACCATAGACTGATGGAGCCTAAGGCGGCACGCCCGTCAGTCAGGGCATGCCGTACGTCGGTCGCCTTATCTTATCTATATCTAATCTATCAGAACAATTAGCCTGAATCGATGGACTTGGACCGCGAAACCAAGCACGTCGCATACTTGAGAGTTAAGGACATTTCTTCGTGTGTTGTACTCTCGACAAATGGGACTAAGCAGGGCGCTAGCCAGACTTCTGAGGGTGGAGAGATTTCATTAGGAAACAACGAATTCATAAATCATTTCAACAAAAGATTGCCAAGCATTGGGTACTAAATGACCTCCATTCATGGTGACAAAATGAAATAAAAGCAAAACTAAACTAATAGTGAGTAGCATAAACAAAGACGAATTAGTAAAAGAAAGATACAAGTGTCCTATATGAAAAGGAATCAAAGGAATAATAGCAAATTGTTCTAGTGGACTAAAAGTCATTATGAATTCAACTGGATAAAAGAATTGTGCTACAAAGAATATAATAAGCACATGTTTTTTTTAATCTATAGTAAAGTACCTAGAAAACTAGATCCAGGATTATTCTTTTATATAAAACAAATTTTTTATATCAAGAATTTAGATCCATGTATTTCTTCTAATTCATTTCAACTATGTACTTCTTGTGCAAATAGTTATCAAAATCATTCTCACCAAGCAGTCTGGAATATCGTTTGTAACAATTCCTTCAAAGCATTTTTTTATTTTTTTATAACGCGGCACCTTGCGAATATGTTGTGCTGTATCTAAAGCTTTGAGTGATAAGTTTTCAAATACGTCAGCTTTCAAAACAAAAACTGAATTGGAATTAATCGCACCCGAAGGCTATATGTGCTCTTTATAACCGTATAGCGAGATGCATATGCCCAAAGAGTTGACGTAGCTCAGTGGTTAAGGCACCTGTTGGAAATGCTCATTGTGGTATGAGGTTGCGGGCTCAAAACTCAATTGCAGCCTCGTGCATGGACACCGGCAGGGCGTTAGAATGACGCACGGCTGGACGCACACCCCACACATGGTAAGCTATTACAGACACTGCCTGCACACCACCCAAGGGTTGTCCATGGTGTTGTAGGTCGGGTCTTGATACTGCACGGGTTGCTTCTCGCTGTTGCTCGTGGTTGTTCTGTTCATCTCCCCAGTCTGGCATATCACACACAGGTGCCATTTGCGATTATTGCACTCTCCCCAGTCTGGCATATCACACACAGGTGCCATTTACACACAGGGGCCGTTGGCGATTGTTGCACTCTCCTCGGGTCACACTGTCGAGGATCTCTTTCTTTTTTTTTCCCTTTGGCAAACATCAGCGACGGGGCGTAGGGGGGGTGCTGATGCAAGCAGACATCCTCTCTACTGTTCCCACTCTTGGTGGGGAGCTGCACCTGATGGAAATAGGGTCCAGCGTCCGTTGACAACACAATCAGGAGCCTGAGTTACACGCTATGCATACGGTTATGTCATTTGTTTAAGAGCCGTATCTGACCAGTTTTGCCATATGGTGGCAGCATTGAGGATCTCGACAGCTCTACTGATGGAACCCATAAAAAAGGGAAAAAGAGACCCAGACATATCCTTTTTTTGTCTCTGCAACAGCGATTTCGCCAGAATGGACATTTTTTATTCTTTGAACGAAATTGAAACGGACTGGTTCGAAAATTTTCCCTTAGGCATGCACCGCCTGGGGTCGAAAAAATGCCCTTAGGCTACCCCCTGGGGTCGAAAAAATGCCCTTAGTCTACCCCCTGGATGTACCTGGATGTAGCTGAGTCCAGGGGGTACGGCATTTTAGGAATGACATACCCTCAAAAGCTAGGTCCGGCCAATTTAGTCCGTTCCAATTTCGTTCAAAAAATAAAAACGTCCATTTTGACATGCGTGAGATCCATAGACTGGAAAACGATCGGCGGATGCGCGAAGAGCAAGAGAGGGCGGCAAAACGAGCTGAGGAAGAGGCAAAGAAGGAAGCTGAAAAGGAAGCAAGACTGGCATAAGTGATTGATGAGAGGATGAAGGAGATGGATGCCAAGAGGGAGGAAGATAACAAGAAACTGTGGGATCGCTTAGGGAAGAACAAGGGGGGGGGCACTGCTAAGGTGAGAAGGCGGCAGGGAATGGGGAAAGCAAGATAAGGGGACAGAACAAAGAATCTCGAGAGATTACAGAGTCGTCTTCAATGACTGGACCCACATCGACCCATCTTTCCCGATGAGGCCCCCGTCTGATTTCCCGGACCTGTTCCCTCCCCACCCCCTCACCCTGATGGAAGTTCTTACCTGACCATGCTTCAAGATTCCGACAAGATTCCGACAAGAGTGTGACAGGATTGAACCCGACGAGACTGAGATAAGACCCCCCGGAGCCCCCCGGGCGAAGCTTGTCAAATGCCCCCCTGTCCTTCCAAAATCATCTTTTTCTCCCAAGTGCGGGCTTCCAAGAGGAGGAAGCCCCTCACACGCTCATCACCACCTGCTCAGTCAATCCCTTGGCAATCAGGGCAATCAATGCTGGCAGGTTGACCCTTTAGACACTTGACGAAAAGGGGGGGGGGGGGGGGGGGGGGGGGGGGAGGAGGGATGCTTTCCCTTTGGGGTGCAAAAAAAAAAAAGAGCTTTCCTTTCCTATGAGACCCGCGTCTGAGTTCCCGGATCCCTTCCCCCCCCATCCCCTTTCTCTAACCGAGATTTCCAATTGATACATTGCCCCCAGTGGTAGTACAGGGCTTGGCGGTGTTTTGGGACTCTTCAAGTCTGAGGGCAACCCAGCGGTCCGCCGCCAGCAGTGAAAAGGACCGCAGCGGCAGGATGGTGAATTTGGCTGGCCTTCAGGAGAACAGGGTTTTGCGGATAGAGGAAGACTAGCACGTAAAGATAGAAATCTGGTGTCCGGATTCGGGATGAAGAGGCTTCCCTACCTACGGGCCTGCTCAGTCAATCCTCTGGCCTCCAGAGTAATCAATGCTGGCAGGTTTCTCTCGTTTCAATGGCCTGATTCTTTTCTGCATGAATCACACTGCTGGTTTCAGAAGGGGCGAAGAGAGTCTAGGTGATCATCAGTCGTTAGGTGCCCCGCAGCAGGGCTAAGAGGCCTCCCTCCCCTCAAATTCTTTATTTTTTTTTCTCTCAATATCTGCTCAGTCAATCCCCTGGACTCTGGGGTAATCGATGCTGGCAGGTGGACAGTACTCATAGTCTCTCAGTGTACAAAGGGACGCTGGACCCGATTTCCAGCAGGTGTCGCTCTCCACCAGTAGACTGGAGCGACCAGGA